GTTTCAGGAAAACCTCCAAGAAGGTAGAGACTAGGCATGGCTACTATGAGATACGGAACCTGGAGCATAGAGCCTCTCAACACCTTACTGTGGAAAGGGCCATGCACTGTGTCACTGCTACAGGCCAGACAATGGGACATGCTGGACACCTACAGGACTCAGAGCTTTCTCCTAGATGAAGACAGTAAGATCCAGAGAGGTGAAGCATCACAAATGCCACATTCACTGGGAGCTCAAGAAATCCAGCACTTACACAGAACCATAATACCCTGCCAGAACTTTTTGAGGAAAAAACAAAAACAAACATTAACAGTTAAATGCAAGGATGTGGCCAGGCAGGGGTCTGGAAGGATACTGACTGAATCTTACAAAGTGTTATTCCCAATCCTGAGACAGTGCAAACCAGGGGACATCGGGCAGGTGCAAGCCAATTTTGCTAAGACTGTTTCTCTGGGGAACCTAAGAGTTCCCATATCATTATTTCAAAGCCACCAGCTTAGCAATATAAATGACTTTAAGGGCACTGAACAAAGAGAAGCAGCCATGGCTACTGACTCTATGGAGCGCTTTATGTGCTGGGCACTACACTGTCTCACCATATCTTTCAAATGATTCCATCCAGGGGACTCAACCCGCCTCCTCATTTTGCAAGTGAGAAAACAAGAGGCTCATCAGCTGATATCCTCTCCGAAGGTCACCTGAGCAGGAAGTAGGAAAGCCAGACTCCAGGACCCACATTCGAAACATCCTGCCTCTGCATACAGACAACAGGGTCCCAATTATAGAATAGTCTGAGCCTCTCTTCAGAAACATGGCATTGTTATAACATTCCTTCCACCTTCCTGACCATCCTACCAACAAGAGTGTGACATAAACACCTTCTAGATGTGCCTCCTCCCCATGTCGCTCTAAGGTGTGCACAGAGCACTGTTTTGAAGCATGTGAGGAAACTCTTCATTTACAAATAGGAGAAGCACCATCTACAAGAGATGACCTGGCACCTGCTACCAGATATGGCACAGAAAAGGGACTGAATAAATGTGTCTTGAACTAAATTGAGATCAGTTGAATGAAAGGAAATAGTCAGTGAGTAATCTGGCCATGTTTTGGGATTTCCTAGCTGCCAACTAACATGATCATTCTCTCCAAGAAGCAGTTAGGCCTATGCCAATACCCTCGGCTATTCTGCTCATTTGCCACTAGTCTCCAATTGCTTAAATGAGAGAAAGAATATCAAGAGGCAGAAGGAAGGAGAGGAAAGAAGAACGGCTACAAACTTGTCACTTTGGAAGAAAAGTGGACTCTCTACAGTGACAAGGTTACCATTTAGCAAACAGCAATGGCATCTTGCTCGAACTTGAAGACTAGAAGTAGGTCTTTCCTCAAAATAACCTTCTTTCCCATGAGAATACTAGGTTATAATTTATGTTTCTTTTTGTGCACAAATTTGAGTGTCATAAAAATGGTTAAAAAGTCTTCCTATGGTAGCTTTTTCTAAACTTTTATGAACATCTGCCACATTCATTTGAAGTTTAAAAAATCCTGGCACATATGCAAAGGCATAATAAGGTGCCTATAGCTTTCAAGAAAAAAAATAACAAGCCAGTCAAAAATAAGCCTTTTGCTGAATTGCCAGTAAGAAAACTAGTGTAGTGAGGAGCTGGGCCTCCCCAGCCCCTTCCTTACAGAGCTTCTCGGCCACCGGTTCACACTCACTAGGCATTGGAGACCTACAGGAAAATCTCGGAACAGGGCTGCAACATTGAAGGCCATATCAGAGGCACATGAGGCCCAGCAAGCAAGCACAGGAGGGCCCTGAGCCTGAACTGAAGTTCAGGAGATGCAGAAAAAGAATTTCAACATTTGGTGGTGGTGGTGGTGGGGGTAGGGGGCAACACCCACAGGAAACATTTTTGTTGTTATTGTTCAGAAAACTACCCCGAGGCTGGAACAACTTGCATTTTTGTTTTTCTTTTAGTACTGACCACACCAAGAGTTCAGCACAGCAGGGCCACTGCTTCTGAACCTTCTCACCCAAAACCCTTGAAAGGCTGGACAGACAAGATTTGCACCTGTTCACCGAAGCGCTTCAAATTTCAGCATATGCTGCACTGCATGCTTTACTAGAGAAAAGGGCTTGTTCTGTATTACTTAAAGTCAAATAAGGTAAAAAAAAATTTTAAACCTCCCTTTTGAGTGTACGCATGCATGTGCTCAATCATTTGCCACCTTATTCTTCTGAGATAGCGTCTCTATAACAAAAAGATAGGCTGCAGACCAGCAAGCCCCCATGACCTTCAGGTCTCTGCATCCAATAGAGCTGGGGTTATATATAGGTGACAGTGGCCTGTCACTGCTTCTGAACCTTCTCACCCAAAACCCTTGAAAGGCTGGGCAGACAGCCATTTATGAACCATGATGGCACTGAGTGACTTGCAAACAGTGATGCCTGCTGGAGGGCTTTAAAATATGCCCCGTTACGGCTCCCCAAGCACTGACTTTGCCCTTCTCTGAAAGCTGTGGCTCAGACAGTCATCCACCTGGCACCCTACTAAAGAAGCTATGGACACCAAAGAAGATGATGCTGTCTTTGCTTCCATGAGATTCATGCTCAGAGGACACACTGGGACATGCAAACAAACAGCTATTGTGTAGAGTGAGAGATTCCACAAATGAAAGATGAACAAGATAGAACGCTTCCTGGAAGAGTCAGAGAAGGGCAGGGCTACCTATGGGACGTATAGGATCTATTTAGTCCAAGCACTGGCTCATATGTGTTCTTACAGTGATGGGGCAGAAGGCATGGCAGTGTGGAGAAGCCATGGGGAGCCTGGGGGCAATGCAGAATGAGAATGGAAGGTGTTCTGTAGTGGCCACACCTGGCAACCCATACCATGAGGGGACTAAGGACTGGCCCCTATTCTCATACCTCCAAGACTGAGCACAATGCTTGGAACACACAAGGCCCTCATTTTGCTATCAAATCAGTGAATTGGGCTTTGTAAGAATCCAAGAAAGCCTAGAAAAAGAGCCAAGGAAGGCAGTGGGAAGGGAACGAGATTAGAGACACTTTATATAGAGACTTGTGAGTAATTATTGAGAATGCTTGGTGTGCTCCAACTCTGGGGCATCTGCAGGCAGTACCTTTCAAGGGTCCGGGAACATCAGAAAGGAATTGGGTGCTCAGAATGTTTATCTGCATGTTCATGCCCACACTGGCATGTAAATAATAAACTGTTGGGGAAAGAAATTCAATGGGTATTTGAATTTGGACCTGAAATCCAGAGAGAGGGAGAGAGAGAGAGGCAGAGCAGAGCAGCGGTCATAACCACAGAGCAGCTTCGCTGACTTTGACTCAGCACTGAAAAGAAAGCCTAAAGCAAGATGGCTGGCGAGCACGTGAAGAAAGAAAAGGAGCCAAGGCCAGACACTGTGGAGGGTGCTGAAGGTACCAGGACACAAGGAAGTCTGGGAAAGCCTGGGATGGAGCAGACCGGAAGGCAGGAGGGAACCAAGGACACCAAGAGACCCAAAAGTCTTTAGTGCTTTAAACTATAAAGCAGTTGGTATGCAAGGTCCATTAGAAAGGATTTACTTTTAATTTTTTTTTTGTATGGGAGCTTTGAATAGATCCCCATACTTAACAAAGGTAAAACACACAAGCAATTTCTTCAGTCTGATCTAAATACATCATCCAAGATAGTCCATAAACTGTGTACTGTATGTGCTTAGGGCTGGGTGATGACAGGGAGGGACTGTTAACAGAATGTAGGAGCCACATGGCCGTCCTGTCAAATTAGAAATTTGAGCAGATTTCTGTGGTCTATTTTGATCAAGATTCTCAATGTCAAACAAACAGGTTTTTCGATAACCAACTCATTTCATTTTCGTAAGCACAATAGCAGAGCGTGCAACAGTTAGTGGCGAAGCAGGTGGTCCTCACTGATGTGAAATGAAAGGAGCAGAAGAAAAGTAGCACTTCCTTTAAGACATACTAAGCACCATGGCAGGCGTGGCTGGAGATTTCCCCTCAGAGCCCATACTGTGCCACACGGGCAAGCTGACCAGCCCCACCCTGCTCTGGGCAGTGCAAGTGTCTGTCCTTTCCAAAGGAAGGAAAGCCTGGAGGGCATGCACAAAAGCATAGGAAGTTCATTGAAAGCACTGCTGTCTGACTGGTACAGGCACACTGAGAGCAATCTGGCAGCAGACTCATAGCTTTGACCAATCATTTCTGCTTTAGGGATTCTGAACTAAGGAAATAATACAGATTAAAAAATGCAGATAAAGCCTTTATGCATAAAGATGTTTGCTGAAGTGCTATTTATAACAGTGAAATAAAAATCATCTAGCAACCTAAGTGCTCAACAGCAGGAAAGTGGTTAAGTTATAGGAATGACAGGGAACAAATGGAAAACTGCTGTTACTGAGGGTAGACAAAAAGGCAGGAATTCTCACACCACAACTCTGACAGGTAAAGAAATAACATTATATGAAATACATATCTACAGGATAAAGACTAAATGGAAGAATAATAAAATGTTATCAGCAGTCCATTCTGGAATAATGGCAAAGCGGGTAATTTTAATTTTTTTCTTTGTAACTTCTAGAGACCATTTGTATCACATTTCCTACCATGAAAATGTAACACTGTTACAGTGATTCAGAATGAATGTCATTATGAAAAACAAAGCCTTTCCCTTCCCTTATCCAAACACAAATGGAACCTTTCCTCCTACCTTCCTACCCTCCCTCTCATTCACCCAGGAAAAACCCACCATTTCCAATCACAGCAGAAAAGCCCAGAATTCAGGAGTCCGTTGGAAGGGTCTAGGTTGATGGATGGAGTCTGTGCATCGGGAAGGACAGGGGGATGCGCGTGAGCAGTTGTATCAGTTGCTCCTGTGTGCAGAGCTGCACATACTGAGATCCCATTTTTCTGCTACAGAAAGTGAAACCGAAGCCCACATCAAGGACTGGGGAGGACAGAGCCCACTTACCTCCATTAGACTGAAATGGACTCCTATGAGGTAGGGCATTGGAGCACTGCAAAGAGAAACAGACACACAGCTGCTTTAATGTCTGTTGCTTCCGACAGAAAATTACAGATGGCTCACTATTTAGAGAAAAGCTGTTTTAATAAACGTATGCACAGTTACATTTCCTTTCACAACAAAAATCTTAATGTGACATTTTGTTTCCAAGCCTAGAAACGTCAAAGAATTTAAAAATGCAGGCAGCACTGGGAACGGCACGGCTAGCAGGAAGAGCATCAACCTTGGTGTCAGCTACCACCCTAAACAGTAGTTAGGCAGCTTCCTGGCCTCAGTCACCTTATCTTTATAATGGGATTCTTGGCTCAACCCTAACTACTGCTACTAGACAGAGATAAACACACATAGTACAGAGGTCCTGATACTAATGGAACTCAACGATCATAATGGAAAAAAAGTGAAAGTTGCATAGAGAGCACAATAGCTTTCAAAGCATCACCCTACGGCTATGTTCCACAATGAAGACATATGGCCTGATGTTTGGGGATGTTCAGCAAGCTTCTGCATGCCACACCACACACACAGCTGGGCTACTGCACAACAGAGGCCACCACTATCTGCTTCCTTTGCAGAGCAGAAACAAGTCCAGAGGTTCTAAAAATCTGGGCATTTTGTAGTAGCTGGCCTTTCCTTCATTTTCAGGAGGGAGGGAGGGAGGGAGGGAGGGAGGGAGAGAGAGAGAGAGAGAGAGAGAGAGAGAGAGAGAGAGAGAGAGAGAGAGAGAGGGAGAGAGAAAGTGTGTGTGTACATATACTCATTTATATTTCCCTCTGGTGATGATAGTGGTTATATGAAGTCACCTTTCTAGCTCACAAAATAACCCCCATTCTACAAAGGAGTAAATTGACCAAAAGAGGTGAAACCACTTATCTAATGCCACACAGCCAAGCAAGCAATAAGCCTGGGCTGACTGTGACTTGGTCCCAGGTTGCTGAACACACCTCGTCTTCCTTGGGAAGAGGGAGGGCAGGAAGCAGGGAGAACAGAAATGGTTGGCAACTTTCTTGGCTGTCTTTCCATGTATGTCATACATCCCACAACACATTAGGGGCTAGTTTTCAATGAAATTAGAGGAAAAACACTTGGCTTGGACTAGGCTGTCCAGGTACTTTCCTCAGGGACCGCTGTGGGAGTCACAGTGGAGGGACAAGGATTTACACAGTGGGTGTAGACCTGGGGAAACAATGAGTCAGGGTGACTACAAACCAGGAGCTCATACTACAGCTGGAAATAGGAGGGGAGGCAACTAAGGCCTTAGATATTAGATGCAAGCTTAAACACCATTCAAACATTCAAAAAAGAAGAAAGGTTTCAATTCCCTCATTACAATTCAACAAATAAAACTCTTCAAGCAAAAACCATCCTTTGGAATGCAAAACGTCCTTACTACAGATCTCAGCAGTCATATATCTCAGGAACCTGGAAGACAGACTCAAATATTAGCTGCACAGTCTGAGAACTTCTTCTAGAAGACTTTGTCTTTGATAATAGCCAAAGAAGAACTGTATAAACAAACTACAGTGGAGAGAAACAGAGTTGTCTTTTCTTCTAGCATCTTCTTCTGTCTATTTTTCCCCCTCCAAGGTACCTGCGGGGCACATGCAGCTTCTCTTTGCTTCCAGAGGCAAAGAAATGCCCTGTGATATTTTTGCCCCGAAACTGTAAGCCATTAGCTGCCAGCCCCACAGATGCTCCAGCTTCCCAGTGTGCCTGGTTTTGCTGCCTGAGCTTTCTCCAGTGTACACCAAAATGAATGTGTTTCTAATTAAGTAGCTTCAGAAACACGACAGCTTCAATGTCAAAAATACAAAGTCTGAACCTCGGCAGGAAGTCTTAAGACTGCAAATGTCTCATCTAGTGGAGCCTTGCCTAATGTAATGAAAGGAAGCAGGAAGAGTGCAAAATTCCAGAAAGAAAAAAGAAGGGGCCACTCATTAATGTGTCCAGAGCACAGCCTGACACAGGGAGAGAAGCACAAGCCTACAATATTGAACTACATCTTACTGACTTCCCAGGTCTTACATTTAAGCACATAACTGACCAGTGACTACGCGTTTCAAATAGAATTTCAGAACCCAAATCCCAACGAGTGAATTAGCAAACAGAAAGAGGGTCAAACAACTGTGAGAAAAGGGTGAAAATAATCCCAACAGCCAAAGCCCTTGGTGTAACTTAACCACAGACTGTTCTCTAAAGAGGAAATATTCTCTAGAAATTGAAATGTGTAGGTTTTAATGCCATGCTACTTTAGTGTACATGACAGCCTGACAGAGATGGGGGAAGCCTTATGAAGGTGACTTAGAGATACTAGAAGGGACAGAGTAGGTCTCACTCTCTGACACTGCTAGATAGGCTTTGAGTAATTACAGCGTATTCTAGAAAAGCAGCTTCGTAGCCAAGTACTGTTAGGCCTGCACAGTCTGTATTTAGACAACATTTAAAGCACACGCATTCTGAATCTGCGCAGCCCTGTGCTTTGCGGGAAAGCGAATCTGGACAAATAGCTTCATCTATTTTTTGTCTATTGTTATCATTTGCTTCCAACACCTCAAATGCTTCCCAGAATCTACATTTTTTTTTTGGCTCTGCAAATATGTAATTACAAATTCTAAGTGGGGGCAGGGGAAGAAAGAAAAAGGAAGCCGCCTCCTTAACATCTCAACGTGGCAAGTACATAAGTGGGTAATTCTAGGTATGTTCTGAATGTAATTTCTATTCTCTATGTAACTCAATTATTGCAGCTACTTATACATTTTCTTGGAGACCTTTTTCTTTGCCTTTTTACTATAAGAGGTAACTTTAGGAGGGAACCATCTATCCATGGTTAGACCATCTAACACAACTACTCTTATTTTTGGCTCATCCTTTCTAATATTAACCTAAACTAAAGGCTTCATATCTTTGAAATTAATTTTATTGTTTTCTCATTTTTTACACTAACATTTTCTGTATCGCTCTATAACTGTTATGATATTATTTTAAAGGCTGCATAATATTCTACTTAGCGGGGTGGACCATAATTTATGGAATCTAATTCCTGGAATTAGACAATAAGTTGTTTCAAATTTTTCATCATTATTATTAGAAACACTGTAATGAAAACAAACAACTAACTTGAATTCCCAGACAGAGATTACTAATCAAAGGGCTGGACTGATTTTCATTTACCTTTTGCTATATCCTAGCCAGGTGTTTCCAAAAAGGTAGACCCTATATCATGGAGCTCTTTCAGGATTAATGCAAGCACTGGAGACATTTCATAAGGTGTCCAGCATGGAGCAGCACTGGTGGACACTCAGTGACTGTGAAGTCCAAAGGGGTTCTCTCCAGACCCATGGTGGCCGGCACTCCTGTATTGCCTTTCCTCTCTCTCAGACAATGGTTTCTCTCCTTCCTTCCCTCCCTCCACCTGACCCCCGTTGTTTGTGATAGTCTCACTGTATAGCTCAGGCTGGCCACAAACTCATGGGAATCCTTCTGTCTCAGACACCTGAGTACTGGGATCACAGCTGTATGTAGGCCATTATGCCCAGCTCAGACAATGTTTTCCTGTTCATCCTAGGTCCTGATGGACAGCTGGGAGGCCACCAGTGAGTGGATATTCCTGTCTCCTCTGTGGGCACGCATTCTTGGCACCTGTGCACTCTACTGGTCCACAGAATTTCAAGTCACTTTCTCGTAGAGGCCCTTCCCCACCCCAATATAAAGGAGGAATTGGTGATTTGTTGCTTTCTAACCACTTAGAATGGCACATTTAAATGCTACTTTCTCACTCCTAGGCATACATTAAAAGGAAAAATATGGCAAAATAAACTTGGTGACCTATTCCTAGAAATGTCACACTGGGAGGCCTACTTATCTGAGTTATTTTCTTTATCCAGGTCACCAGTGCCCATGAGTCCACCACGAGGGGCATCCTCCTGGCTTGTTTGCTGCCATTTTAGAACACATGGATACAAATGTTCTTGCCTCACTAATGGCAACTGTACCTAGCTTCTATGCAACATTCACAGGTCTTCAGATTCTAAGGCAGATCTCAGTGCCATTTTGAAGATTGTTTAAATGGCAATTAATACAACACACTTAAAACCAACAACATCCATAATTAAATTAAAGCAATTGTAATATTAGCAGTTATGACCAAGTTCGTGCATAGGTGGGCATGACAACTGTGTCACAACTGCTGTGTGGCTGACAGACGACTGTGGAATGCCATTGTTCATCTCTGAATAGCAGAACAAGGTACATCTACACTGGCCCTTTGTTCTCTGGGAATTACTGCACTACCTGACTTTCTCAGTTATATTCTGGGGGAGTGCAGTCTACTCTACTCTTTCTTCTTTCTTTCCTTCGTTTCTGGTGCTAAGGCAATGACCTGACAGGTATCTTTATTTTGAATCCTAAGGGGGAAAGGAACTGATATTATTGAGTGACTATAAGCCAGCCACTTTCATGCATTGCATACACAATTCTCAAGGCAACTCTGCAAAACAGTGCTATTATCCTCATTCTTGGTAAGGAAACACTCTGAAAGGTGGAACAACTTGCCAAGGTCACACAGCTGGGAAGCCCAAACCAGGATGTGCTCATGGTGTCATGCTGGGGCCTTCTCCATACTGAGGCCTTCAAGGCATGAGTACCCAAGAGGCTCTCCAACTGCCCTGGTATGGACTTGGGCCTGGGACAGACAGCATAGTTCATCTAGGCACATCCTATATCCCAGAACAGGCATGCACACAGACTGTAGACTTATTAATCGTCCTGCTATCCCATTCATTATTACTGTACTTTCACAATTTGTTTAATTCCTTTCCCCCAGATAACCAGAGCCCTTTTAATTATGTTCCCCTGAGGTGAGCTGCTACTAATTGGAAATGAGGCAGGTGAAATAAAGGAACACTGGCTGCTCAAACACATAACACACAGCTCCCCAGACAATGGGAGAGGGGTGGCTGGGGAGGAAAGCCCACCCCAGGTGAGCATGTCTGCCTA